CGAACAAAACACCTGTGGGGGGGTTTTTTTTGGGGGGGGGGGGGGGGGGGGAATATAGAGGAGAGGAAGCCAGGAGAAAGAGCAAGAAGAGCCAGCCAGGGGAGGGAGTAAGGAGACAATTTATAGAGGACTACAACTCCCAGCAATACATTATACAGCAACACAAAATAATATGAAGCTACATACTCTGTGTTCTGGGGTGGTGTCCTGATGTCTCCAGGGTTTCAGGTGGCCTGTGAGGGCTCTCAGGTAGATTAAATGGGCTCTCAGGTGGCTGTGGGGACTCTCAGGTAAGTTATGGTTCTGGGGTGGTGTCCTGATGTCTCCAGGGTTTCAGGTGGCCTGTGAGGGCTCTCAGGTAGATTCAATGGGCTCTCAGGTGGGCTATGCTGGCTCTCAGGTGGCTGTGTGGGAATTGCGGGGGTCTCAACAGGGGTCTGGAGGCAGGCAGCATGCTATCAGGAAGGAGACGAAGGATGAGAATATGTGCGGGCCGGCCTGTACCTGTTTACAGGCGCCCGGCTCACGCTTGCTGGGGACCTCAGGCAGCCGCATCTGTCAAGAAATGTAAAGTGCCAGTATCGGCACTTAGTGTCTTGTGTCCGGGTGTCAGCAGACATCCAGACCAGAAGAAGTGTGTGTAATTCTTATAATAAGAACACACAAGGGTGCAATAACCTTGATGGTGTGTATTCTAAAGACTATCTGTCTCTATGTCAAAAAAGGGGAAAAAAGGTGGCGCACTTACATATAAATCTAGAAACTGGACAAAGGGCGGCCTTAATGGAGGATAGGGTTGGCCAGTATGCATTGCTCCACAATGCTGGTGTATGGTGTATACGGCCAGAAAGTGCCCGCCTTTGTATGGTGTAAATGGTGGAAAGGTGCTGTTGGGGCGGCAAGCGGCCAAGGAAAGGTGATACTAATGTTGGTACTAAGACCTGGGGACATGGCGGGCACTTTCTGGCCGAATACTCCATAGACCAGCATCGTGCAGCAATACATATTGGTCAACCCGATCCTCCATTAAGGCAGCCCTTCGTCCAGTTCCTGGATTTATATGTAAGTGCGCCACCTTTTTTCCCCTTTTTTGACATAGAGACATATAGTCTTTAGAATACACACCATCAAGGTTATTGCACCCTTGTGTGTTCTTATTATAAGAATTATGTAAGTGCACCACCTTTTTTGACATAGAGACAGGTAGTCTTTAGAATATACACCATCAAGGTTATTGCGCCCTTGTGTGTTCTTATTGTTGTATTGTTCACAGGCTTTCTCCTACTGTTTTTTTGGGCTGCAATACCATACAGCTCACCCATCATATACATTCCCCATCCATCCGAGAGCGCTGAATATTCTTCTGTTCTGTGTCATTCTTATACTGATTTTAGCTATTGCTGTGAGAACCTGTAAGGAATAAGGTGACCAGATTCCCTTCAAGGAGGTTCTGCATAAATCATGGACACAAGGGAATCTGGTCACCTTATTCCTTACATGTCCTCACAGCAAGAGCTAAAATCAGCCAGAATTACACTCACTCACTTTCTTCCTCCCTTCCCCTTCTTCCCCACGCAGCTCCACCGGGACAGGAGACAGTGATCTGACAGTTCAGAAACTATCGGCACTGTCTGTTCAACACTCCCACACTAGTACCGGCCCTGATTAACCCCTCAAGACTTGTACCTGTAGCCGCACAGACAGCCGCACGCTCTGACTGCCGGGATTGTGCTCACACAGCAGAAAGTCCTCCTTCACGTATTCCTCTCCAGGACCCCGGGGCTGCCCCTGTCTGCCTGAAACTGTGACATCTTGTGTACGGGGCTGAGGTGGCCTGAAACCCGTACACAAGATGCCAAAACCATACTGTACGGGTGAAACCGTGCAGCATTTCACCTACTTTCACAGCATGCGTCGCACTTAAGGGAACACCAACAAAGAACAAAGGCTTCCAGTGTACACTGAACCAACAGAAATCAATATATTATACAAGGAACGGTAAGAAGTAACATGGCTAATGAGAGTATAGCACAAGCAGTGGCGGAACTACCACCATAGCGACCGATGCGGTCGCTATGGGGCCCGCGGCACTGGGGGGGCCCAGATCCCCGCTGCTCTCCCCAGCTTGTATGGGCTGAGGCAGCGGGGATCCGGAAAAAAAATGGACACCGGAGGAGCCGCTGCCGTCCTGAAACTGACAGGAGGACAGCGGCTCCGCTCTCCTCCCCGCCTGCCGCTCGATCATCGAGATCGAGCAGCTGTGTACGTGGCCAAGCGGAGGATCGGTAGGTATCATTGATATTTACCGATCCTCCGTGTGCAGCACAAACACTGGAGTGATCGTCTGATCACTCCAGTGTTTGTAAATAACTTGGGACACATAGTACTATGTGTCCCCAGTTATGAATGAACAGGAGGCTGTTCATTCATGAATTTTTCAATGGGAGAAGCACTCAGTACAGAGTCTTTTCCCCATTGAGAATCTGCTTGATAGTAAATATCTTACTATCAGCAGTTTGTGAATGAATGGGAAGCCTCTGTACTGAGTGATTCCCATTCACTGAGTGCTGAGGCTGCACAAAAAGAGAATGAGGAGTCTGTGTCCACAATGTCTTTTTCTATTTCAAAAGGGAAATGTCAGGGGTCTGTTTAGGCCCCTAATATTTCCCCAAAGCCCCCCAACAGTAAAATAATAATAAATAATAATTACAAAATGTGTAAATAAAAAAAAAGCACAACCCCCCTCCCCCACACACACATAACATACACGTGCACCATATTGTGGTGTATGCCAGGCACATGCGCTGCAGTGCGTTGTTAGAACGCATCGCAGTGCATGATTTTTAACATTAATTTAACTGTGACATTAATTTAACTGTGGCAGCGCATGGCAAAGCTTTGTGACGCATTGCCATGCGTTGTGATACCTTGTGTTGTAATTAAATATACGCCTGTATCATTTTATCACAACACAAACACCAACACAGCGCAAAAACAATTTATAAGATAAATCGCTTATTTAAAATTTAGCGTTCCTTAATTTTTTAAATAAATCCCCCTTTCCCCAGCCTCTCAATTGTGTGGCAGTATTAAAGTAAAGTGTTAGGCCTCATTCAGGCGCCATTCACACCAGGGCGGAAGCGTTTCACCGTGGTTTCCGCACGATTTCTGAAAGAGCATTTTTGGCTGTTTTTAGTCACGTTTCAGCGCTGAAACGCAATTAAAAATGCTCAAAAACGTGCTGATCAGTGCATTTCTATTAAAATGGGGGTGGGGACTTTTGTTGCGGGGGATTTCGTTGTGTGGGGGGACTACAAAATGTTGCTATGGGGTCAGAGGATTTCTAGTTACGCCCCTGAGCACAAGGAATATGCAGTGAAAAGATTACAATGTTGTTAAAGGGTATCTATGGTCAAAAACTCAAACTAAATCTGTCGGACACAATATCACTCAGCCCTGTAAATATGCATTTCCTTGTTTCACAATCTCACAGAGCTGTCTTCAGAACTACAACTCAACATGCAGTTACTGGTCTTTCATTACATGAAGCTCAAAGTACATTTTCACATTGGATTGCTGCACAGATTTGAAAGGAATACACAAAACTCTCCAATATTCAGGGAAGAACATGCATGCCTTGTAGATAAACCACAATTGTATATCCCGGAGTTCTGCTTTACAGAAGAACTCTGGGCACAAATTTGATTAACCCCTGCAGTGGGGCTACCCCTGCACTGCAAGGGTTAAGTGCTCGTTTTTTGCCTAGGGTGAAATATAAAAAAGTTATACTCGCCTGATCCTTGCCAGCCGCCCCTTATACCTGTCCCTGGAGCCTCTCTCCCTCATTGCTACAGTAGTCTAAAGTCACTGAGTTAAAATGGTCTGCAGGTAACCCTTGCAGTGTAGGGGAAGCCCCACTGGAAGGGTTAATACAATGTGTGCCTGGAGTTCTTTTGTATACAGCCTAGGGGGGTAGAGGATTGCCTTAGCTATCAGAGCCAGTAAGGCAAGTAGAGAGATGACAGGTTCTCTTTAAAGGTGTCCTTGTTCTGATATTCTTGTATCTAGTCTATGACCCCAACACACCCTTTTTCAAGGTACTACTTCCCTGGCTGTCATGCTGATCCAATGGCTATCATGCTGATCCAGTGGCTATCATGCTGATCCAGTTGCTGTCATGCGGATCCAATGGCTATCGTGTTGCTGATCCAGTCACTATCATGCGGATCCAATGGCTATCATGCTGATCCCTGGCTATCATGCTGATCCAATGGCTATCATGCTGATCCCTGGCTGTCATGCTGATACCTGGCTGTCATGCTGATCCAATGGCTATCATGCTGATCCAGTGGCTGTCATGCGGATCCAATGGCTATCATGTTGCTGATCCCTGGCTGTCATGCTGATCCAATGGCTATCATGTTGCTGATCCCTGGCTGTCATGCTGATCCAATGGCTATCATGCTGGTCCAATGACTGTCATGCTGATCCCTGGCTATCATGATGATCCCTGGCTGTCATGCTGATCCCTGGCTGTCATGCTGATCCAATGGCTACCATGCTGATCCAATGGCTATCATGCTGATCCAATGGCTATAGTACTGAATAAGTAAAATATGTTCCAAGTAAATGGGCAGATTCAGAGATCTGACTTGACTCTAACTTGCTTGCTTTCCTCAAGTCAGAAGCCAGAGCCAGCCAGGAGCCCAGCCTTTTCAGACCGATCAGCAACATGAGCCTAATTCTTTCAGTTCTCCCTAAATAGACAGCATATAGAAATGAATGAATGGAGACCAAGGTTAAAAAATATATAGAAGCTCAGAAAGTAGTTGATGCGATCCCCCAATACGATTGCAATGTGACTGTGGACAGTTGTCAGCGCCCCGTCCGTACACACCGCACAGAACTCACCGAAGAGGGAGTTGCAGAAGCCGTACCATACGCAGCCCCGCCGCCCGATCAGCCATCTTCCGGACACACTGGCCGCAAAGCTGAACGGAGTACCGAACACACAGACCAGCAAGTCACTGACACTGATATTCAGCAGGATCATATTGATGGGAGTCCTCACCGCTTCAAACTTGACGAAGATGATCAGCACCATAGAGTTGTAGAGAGATCCCTGCACCAGGATACAGCCCAAGAACACCGCCACTAGATTGTGAGCTGTGCGGCTCAGCCCTGCTGAGCCCTTGACGTCCCCTAGGCTGATGTTGGAGATTCCGCTGCCATTCTGCATTGCTAGGACCAGCACCATGTCCATTCTTCATCTGCTGCACTGCGAGCCATGGCAGGGGCCACACATTTTATATTGTGTACTGAGGGATGCTGGAGACAAGGCAACGATTAATACAACAACCCTCCCCACCTTAATCCATATCCCCCCCCCTCCACCCCTATCCCCATCCCCAAGATCTGCCTATACATGACGCTGGAGGGTGGGAGATGTGACATGTATAGGATGCTGCAGGGCAGGGGGCATGCACGGGACATCTCATACAAGATCTGCTTAAAGGGATCTTCTCACTGATTTTAACTTGTCACACATGCTGCATGATGGTTTCCTTTCTTGACAGTTGGCTTTCTTTATATTTGGGTAGAACAGACAGTATACTGTATATAACAACAATAATACATGCATCTTCTAAAGAGGGTTTATTCCCAACAAAGCCATGCACCTGCAGAGAATATCATTTGAGTACACACTGGCTTGTATCAGCTATTTCCTTTACAAGTACAGATGCAGAAATTATGTTTTCACAGAACATTATTGAGGGCTGAAGGTTTATTTTTAAATTAACGGGAAAGTTAAAAAAGAACTCTACCCTTCCAGGGGGCTTCCATCACACTGCAAGGGTTAAAACAGAACTCGGGTCAAATTAAATTATAACCCTTGCAGTGAAGCTACCCCTGCTCTGCAAGGGTTAAGTGCTCATGTTGTCTAAGGGGATCAAATAAAGTAGATATACTCACCCGATCCTCAGTCCCACCAGGGTGCTAGACCGGTCCGCAGCCTCTGCTCCCCCGGGCTTAGGCAGTTTAAGCCCCACTGATCTTATCACATCTAATACAGGTCCATTGACTTGTATTAGACGTGAGGATACTGATGGACATTCCATAACTGGAGTAGAGGGTGAGAGATGACCACCATGGAACCGAGGATCAGGTGAGTGTATCATCTTTATTTGAGTCCCCTAGCTAAAATGAGCACTTAAAGGAGAATTATGTAGATGTTAGACTGACCGGCCTATAGTTCCCAGGTTGGCACCTTGCCCCCTTTTTCAGACCATTGCACCCAAGATCCACTGACAGTTGTAATGTTTTACTGTTTCCAATGCAATAAAATAATAAATGCACATTTTTTCTTTCATGAAGATGTGTGCATTTATTTTATTTTTTTTGAAAAGGTGTAATCTAACTTTAAAGTAGTATTAAACTATCAAACTTTTTTTCAATAATGAATCCAGAGCAAACAAATATACATTAAATGGCAAAGCATTGCTTAAAATTTTTGCCCAAAAACAAAATCCTCATGTTTGTGAACAGCTGCTTCCAAGTCTCTCAGCTCATCTTCCCTGGATTTCCTGTCCAGTAGAAGATCACAAGGGACTGAGCAGACTCCAGCAACTGTTCATCTACTAGCTTGGAGTAAGGAGGGGAGAAGAGAGGGGGCCAGGGGGGAGGGGAGTTGCTTGCCTTGCTGTGTCTGTATGTTTGTAGAGACACACAGAGCTTATTAGCGCACACAAGGGTGACTCCGTAGCACTCTGTTTGACAAAGGAGTCACTCTAAGGCTGGGTTCCCACCTCGGCGTATTTCAGCCCGTGGAAACGCGCCGAAAAATGTCCTACGCCCAAACAAGTACAGGAGCTTCTTTGTGGCGTATTTAAGCGCGTATCCATTGGTTTTCCAGAGTGTGAGTCCTGAGCCACACTCAGGAATACAATGTAGGTCTTACCTTGTCCGCGATCCCTGCTGTGTCCTGCGGCTGCTGCCGTCTTCCGGGTTCCGTCCCTTGCGAACGTCCGCGTCACAGGGGGTCGGAACCGGCGGGAAGTTTGAAAGTTAAAAAAAACCTGAAAAAAAGATAGAGAAAATAAAGGAAAAAGAAAAAAAAATCATACCACCAGGGAGGTATAAAAACGAGCGTTGAACACGTGTTTCACTGAACTTGCTAAAAAACACGCAAAAAAACGAGCTGAAAAAACGAGCCTATGGTACCAGGTGTGAACCCAGCCTAAAACAGGAAGTCAGGACCAGTGCTCAGGGGACCAACTGATTCTGCAGAAAACTAAAACTTTTCTATATCGAGAAATCCTTTTGACTTTAATGTCACTTTAAGGCATGCCAACTGTCAAGGTTGTCAGTGTGCTTATTTCAGCTCTCAACTGAACTTTCAAGCCCTTAAATAGGTGGTGTCATAGCTGATAAGATCCATGGCAATTGCAATCCAAATAGAGGCTAAGATGGCACCTTCCTTGGCTGCACAGGATAGGAGGGCATAGTTCTGCTTTTTAATCCTATCTTGAGGTAAAAAACATACCCTTGTAGTGGGGCTGCCCCTGCACTTCAAGAGTTAACTGCTCAGTAATGTCTAGGGCAGGGGTAGGGAACCTTGGCTCTCCAGCTGTGCTGAAACTACAAATCCCATCTTGCTTCTGCCTCTGGGAGTCATGCCTGTGGCTGCAATGCCTTATGGGATTTGTAGTTTCAGCACAGCTGAAGAGCCAAGGTTGCCTATCCCTGGTCTAGGGGTATCATGTAAATGAATTTTACTTACCTGATCCCCGCTCCCTCTGGCTCCAGAACTGGTCTCTTCCCTGCCTATGCTCTGGTGGTTAGAGGCCTGCTAATGTAATTTGATCTGATGACCTGAGGACGCAGAGGGACAGTTCACAAGCTCCAAGATGGAGACTCTCATAGTTTAGAGTTAGGACCGCACTATCTAGAGGTGCCTTGACGCAGCTTTGCGGCTTTCACATTTTCTGCAGAAGTCGTGTAACTAAACCTCTGTTTTTAACCTTAGCGGTGAGAGAAGTTTTTTTGCATGCTGGCTGGTGAGTGTGCTGGGAAAACTTTTTGCTGTTTTACAGTTCACAAGTTGGCGCCACTTTTAGCAGTAGTGGGGGATGACAAAATAAGAAAAACAACACTATGGATCATAACAATTGTGTATAGATTATTTAGTAAGCAAATGCTTATCTTTGTTAATGAGGGTCTGTGATTTTATGAGGTTTGACTGCTGAGTTTAATTCCGCTTCAATGTTTGTTTGAATGGTGGCTTTGATATTTGTTGTGTAGCCGGGACATTACAGCTTTGAGAAAGAGTTTGAGTTTTTGTATGAATCACTCTTGTAGTAGTATCAAACACTTTTTCTATTATGAATCCAGATCAAACAAATATACATTGCCCAGAAAAATGTTTCTTTACATTTTTGACCAAACAATTACAATCATCACGTTTCTGAGCAGCTCCAACTCTCTCAGCTCAGCTTCCCTGAACTTCCTGTACAGTGCAAGATCACATCTACTACTGGAGAAGTGGAGAAGTGAGAAGAAAGGAGGAGACATACATAGTTTATTAGGACACACAATGGTGGCTCTATAGGACCCTGCAAGGAGCCACCCTAAAACAAGAGTCCATTGCTCAGGGGATCAGCTGATTCTGCAGGAAACTAAAATGCTTAAAGTGACATTAAAGGCAGACACCCCCCCCCCCC